CTGCAGGATGCCAAAGGAGGAAAAGTAGCTCAGTGGCAAATTTTCTTAGTAATTCAGTGGTCAAAAGTGAGGCACGGAGAAAAAAACCGCACTTTGGCTACAACTGAGAGGCACTGAATCCCGGCAACGAAACTGGGAAATATTATGGCGTTAGACCCGACGAAACTCAAACAAAACACTGGCGCAATTAAGAGCAGCCACTGCAGCAAGCAGAGTGAACATGTATCCTTCAACTTCAATGAAAACTTTGTCATAGTAACACATTCAAAGGTATGAGCCGCCTACTGATTCATTGCAAACACATCATGCTCGCGATCGCGGGCGACATCACCTGAATGTTGAAAGTACACATTCCCTGACGCGTGCCATGGTGACGCCGAACCATTTTATAAGGCTTATTTTATGTCATTGTCAAAGTGACGAGGTGGTGGTATAGCGTTGTTTGTTAGAAATAAATATTGCACTAAATGAATAGATATCTCCTTCACCAATGTTGAATGCCTTCCGTGGATTGGTTCTCTTACAGTGGGAACCGATAATATGCGAAGCACAAATGATAAATGTTGATATGTCGCTTTAAAATCAGCACAACGTTACGAGGGGGAGGTAAACGATGCTGTACGTCACTTCCATGTCATGATTATCATGTTTGGATGTGTCGTTTACCTTCATCATCTACTCACGTCACGTGATACTAAATTTAGTATATGGGGAGCTAGCGAAACGGCCACCAGCCCGCTATGAGCGTGGTATGTTGTCATGTTCTTACATAACACGCGTGTCAGGATTATCATTTTTGCACCAGTCATATATTTCGACATCCGTTGTCGTCACGTAACACCTAATTTGGTATATGTGGAGCTAGCAAAACGGCCGCGAGCGCATCATGAAGGGGCCAATATACTACACTGTAGCGTTGACGCGCGCGCACGCTCGTCACAGCGACGCTACGTTAGCAAAACGCGAGCATTCTATAGTCTGACGCCAGGCGTGACCAGCATTCTTCGGTGCTGCCCGACAGCGACATGCTGCATTTCGCGCCGATGCCATAGAGTAACATTACTCTATTCCCTTGCGTTACCCTGACAACACTGCGTCTCCCTCTTTTCTTGACGGAGGGACGCCGGACACGCTTAAACGCGCATGCGTCAAAGCAACGCAGAGCAGCGCGCGCCTGCGAGTATATCGCAGGACCTGTGCCTGGCGTGGCAACGCCGGCGTGACCCGACGAAACCGGTGGGCACGCGCATCGCGTCACGTCGAAATGTATTAGCGCCTTGACTGTGGCATGTAGTCATCCTCTCACATGACACGCATCTCATGATTATTATGTTTGCCGAGTCACATACCTTCGTCATCCATTGACGTCACGTAATACCGAATTTCGCATATGTAAAGCTATCGAAACGGCCGCGAGCGCATCATGAGTTGAGTGTGGCGTGTTGTCATGTTGTTACATGACACGCATGTCGTGATTATCAAGTTTCGAAGTATCATTTACCTATGTCGTCCGTTCGCGTCACGTAATACCGAGTTTGGTACATGTGAAGCTAGCGAAACGACCGCGAGTGCATCATGAGCTTAGCATGTAGTCATGTTGTTACATGACACGCATATCATGATTATCATGTTTGCACCAGTCGCATACGTTCGTCATTCATTCACGTACCGTAATACCAAATTTGGTATATGTGACGCTAGCGAAACACCTGTGAGTGCATCATGAGCTTGGCATGTATTCATGTTGTTACATGACACGCATGTCATTATTTTCATGTTTGGGTTTGTTGCTTGTATTTGCCATCCAATCATGTCATACCATACCAGTTTTGCAACATCTCATGTTAACGACACCACCGCAATAGCTGCAGTACCATAAAATGTAAGTCATGACATTCATGACATCAATGATTTTCATGTTATGACTAATAAAATATGTTCTTCATACAGTCTTGTTATGGCATACCAAGTGGTATTGATAGCATTATCGAAACGGTCAAAAGAGCTAAATGTAGTAAGTGTATGTATAGATAGATAGATAGATAGATAGATAGATAGATAGATAGATAGATAGATAGATAGATAGATAGATAGATAGATAGATAGATAGATAGATAGATAGATAGATAGATAGATAGATAGATAGATAGATAGATAGATAGATAGATAGATAGATAGATAGATAGATAGATAGATAGATAGATAGATAGATAGATAGATAGATAGATAGATAGATAGATAGATAGATAGATAGATAGATAGATATATAGATAGATAGATAGATATTTGTGCCAAGTAGTACGAAGTTACACGTGAGATGATAACGTGCTTGACATATTGTAAGAGTGCGAAATACTTACGCGCGCCGTATCTGACGGGGCATTGAACCTGTGTTGTCACAAGTTTGATATGTACTGCGAGCAGAATTCCCACAGCTACGTTTTTCATAACCACTAATGTATTTCTTAGAGGGAGCACCTTGTAAAATGAGGCGTTGATAATTTACGCTGCGGAGTGGTCTACTGTAAAAAAAAAAACGAACGAGTGTATTGTAGAATTGAACTGTTCACAAACGAGTGGATATAATCTTATAAACACGTTCTGAAGATTCACCTACATTACGCTAACACAGGGGCATAATGGAAAGGAAAACGGACAGCTCTTAGCTTATAAAAAAAACGTTGGCTGCATCAAGCAATCAGTCACGTGATAACTTTTTTTTTCAATTAGTGGTTATCGTGAGAGGAAATACAGTTAGTGAGCTTCTCTGAGCTTCCTCGACTGCAACAGTTAACATGAAGTGGCGGCGCCGTAGCCTGCGCACGTCTAGACGAAGAAAACCTTACGCCTTATTCTGGTCACAACCCTGCAGAGATTTTCATGCTGCGAAGGAATGCATGAATTTTTCTCAGCATAGGCCTCCGATTTGAGTGTGGCCGGTAGCGTTCTTGTCTTGGTGGCCAAATAGAAATGCGTGAAATGTTTAACCCGTTTACTTACATGCAGTAAATTGTTACAAACAGTCAAAACAAAAGTGGAGTAAATTCCTTTGGGCAACCATTTTCATTAGCGAACAAAACGCTCACTGGTCAGATTTTCAAACGGCACTGTGATAATGCGAAAAAAGACAGTCAAATGTTTACGTCCGATTGTTCCATATTCGTGAATTTGGAGCCATACGGTGGAAACATTACACTTACATTCGCTGGGATTGATAAGATAAGCAAGCAGTTCAATATGCCTAGTGCTAGCAGCCGTTTACATCACGAATTGTGCATAAATATTTTTGTACATGGGAAACACCATGCCGGCGTACTCGATCGGGAAGTGCCTCGTGAAATAGTGCCGCGCCATGCAGCGAAACGTGCCATGACTCGGTGAGATTAAGTCATCGTCAAGCGTCAGTCATCGGCCATTTGTAAGCAAATGGTTGTCGTCGCGAATCTGAACTCTATGAGCACCTGAAGTTTCCTACCTAATAATGGCAGTTAACGTGATTCTTTCCTCGACCTGAATTCTGCATACGGTCTGTTTGAAAATGAGTTTCAAGCATAGGCGGGACTCAATGAAGGAATACTAGATTCCTACACAAATGGCACACATGCGAGTCTTCTTCTGCTTATCTGCATTTTTTTTTTTCACGTGATAGCGGTTATGGACACCGACGGCATCGCACAACTACGGCGCAAAAAACAACTGTTGTAGCGATCTCATCTCTTCCTAAATCTCTCTGCACTAAATTGTAAAGTTAAAAAAAACGCCAGACCTGCGCGGAACGCGCAGCCCAGTCACTGCGAAAGCTAGAAGAGTGACCTTTCAGAGCCTTTTCAAAGCACTACTGTATTTCTTAGTGGGAGCACCTTGGAAAATGAGGCGTTGATAATTTACGCTGCGGAGTGGTCTACTGTAAAAAAAACGAACGAGTGTATTGTAGAATTGAACTGTTCACAAACGAGCGGATATAATCTTATAAACACATTCTAAAGATTCGCCTACATTACGCTAACACAGGGGCATAATGTAAAGGAAAACGTACAGCTCTTAACTTATAAAAAACGTTGGCTGCATCAAGCAATCAGTCACGTGATAACTATTTTTTTTTTCATTAATGGTTAGCGTGAGAGGAAATACAGTTAGTGAGCTTCTCTGAGCTTCCCCGACTGCAACAGGGTGATTCCACGAGAGATCGACACGGGTCCATAAGTTGATATTTTAGATTTCATTGAGTATTTTATATTTCGTGCACCTCTCACCAGGTAGCCCGAAAGTCAACTTCGTTTTATGATTAACGGAATAACTTACGAGAAAAAAATATCAAACTTCACCAACACGGAGGCACCAATTTCGTCACCTGTCATTTTCGAAAATTACAGATGCTATAAAGAGACAAATATTTTTGTTTCAAGGAAGATATTTTTTACCTGAAATGCATGTCTAATGAAGAATGAAATCATACGGTTTCAAGTTTGTAGACCTCAAGAAAATAGCTTTTAAAAGTGTCTACTTTTGCGACATTTTAAAATAAGTTACGTATTCCCTATTTTTTTCTCCGAAAGTAATGCAAGCAGCGCTTTCAAACTTGACACGTTTTAAGGATATAATGTGTTCATTAGGTACATAAATTATTGCTGCCGTAGGGCTAATGTAAATTTTTATATATTGCCTCAAAATTCTCATATTGGCAAAAGTGTACTCCACTGAAATTTGAATAATAAGAAATCCCCATCTTTGATTTTTTTTAAATCTCGTAAATAGACAACCGAAGGCCCTCATACAGTAATATAGAAAAACATGTTGCATTATTTTGTTTTTGGCGACAATATTCGTGGTACAAATCAGAGCTTTTCGAGAATGCGCTGATAAGTTGAGAAATCTAGAAATTGGAATGGAAAAGCGGCAATAAACTTCAAACGCGAGTAAACGGGACCACATTTGGTGAAGAAAAGCTGTTTTAGCAGATAAAAGTAACTATTTTGAACACTGTATTCTACAGTATCTGAATTCACTCTTATACGTAGAGCAATGAGACTTCTAACATGTGGTGCCTCTCCATTACTGACACACAGATGGAGCTGCTGTGACGGCCATGTGTTTGCAACACGTTGGGTAAGAGAATTGAATGTTGAATGAGTTCATAAACCATTCATAAGAAATTTTTATCATTTGGGGCACGAAGACTGCCGCATTAGACTGAAGAACACGCTTTAGGGCAAGCTGTCATCCGTCGTCTGCTCTACAGATAAATTGCTGTGCGCCGCATCTCGTAGGCAAAGCTTTAGATCATATGGTTCAAAGTAGGGACAAAGATTACGCCTTCTGTAAATTTATCGACAAAAACATTGTGAAATTCATTTTAACGTACTATACTTCAGTTTTGCATTCGCACTGTGGATACTTGTGCACAAGTATCAATTCATCTGTAGCAATTCATCTGTAGAGCAGACGACGGACGACAACTTGCCCTAAAGCGTGTTCTTCAGTCTAATGCGGCAGTCTTCGTGCCCCAAATGATAAAAATTTGTTATGAATCGTTTATGAACTCATTCAACATTCAATTCTCTTACCCAACGTGTTGCAAACACATGGCCGTCACAGCAGCTCCATCTGTGTGTCAGTAATGGAGAGGCACCACATGTTAGAAGTCTCATTGCTCTACGTATAAGAGTGAATTCAGATACTGTAGAATACAGTGTTCAAAATAGTTACTTTTATCTGCTAAAACAGCTTTTCTTCACCAAATGTGGTCCCGTTTACTCGCGTTTGAAGTTTATTGCCGCTTTTCCATTCCAATTTCTAGATTTCTCAACTTATCAGCGCATTCTCGAAAAGGTCTGATTTGTACCACGAATATTGTCGCTAAAAACAAAAATAATGCAACATGTTTTTCTATATTACTGTATGATGGCCTTCGGTTGTCTATTTACGAGATTTTAAGAAAAATCAAAGATGGGGTTTTCTTATTATTCAAATTTCAGTGGAGTACACTTTTGCCAATAAATTTGAGGCAATATATAAAAATTCACAATTGCCCTACGGTAACAATAATTTACGTACTTGATGAACACACTATATCCTTAATACGTGTCAAGTTTGAAAACGCTGCTTGCATTACTTTCGGAGAAAAAAATGGGCAATACGTAACTTATTTTAAACTGTCGCAAAATTAGACATTTTGAAAAGCTATTTTCTTAAGGTCTGCAAACTTGAAAACATATGAATTCATTCTTCATTAGACATGCATTTCAGGTAAGAAAATATCTTCCTTGAAACAAAAATATTTGTCTTTTTATAGCATCTGTAATTTTCGAAAATGACAGGCGACGAAATTGGTGCCTCCGTGTTGGTGAAGTTTGATATTTTTTTTCTCGTAAGTTATGCCGTTAATCATAAAATGAAGCCCCGCCGCGGTGGTCTAGTGGCTAAGGTACTCGGCTGCTGACCCGCAGGGCGCGGGCTCAAATCCCGGCTGCGGCGGCTGCATTTCCGATGGAGGCGGAAATGTTGTAGGCCCGTGTGCTCAGATTTGGGTGCACGTTAAAGAACCCCAGGTGGTCTAAATTTCCGGAGCCCTCCGATACGGCGTCTCTCATAATCATATAGTGGTTTTGGGACGTTAAACCCCACATATCAATCATAAAATGAAGTTGACTTTCGGGCTAACTGGTGAGAGGTGCACGAAATATAAAAATACTCAATGAAATCTAAAATATCAACTTTTGGACCCGTGTCGATCTCTCGTGGAATCACCCAACAGTTAGCATGAAGTGGCGGCGACGTAGCCTTCGCACGTCTAGACGAAGAAAACCTTACGCCTTATTCTGGTCACAACCCTGCAGAGATTTTCATGCTGCGAAGGAATGCGTGAGTATTTCTCAGCATAGGCCTTCGATTTTAGTGTGGCCGGTAGCGTTCTTGTCTTGGTGGCCAAATGGAAATGCGTGAAATGTTTAACCCGTTTACTTACATGCAGTAAATTGTTACAAACAGTCAAAATAAAAGTGGAATAAATTCCTTTGGGCAACCATTTTCATTAGCGAACAAAACGCTCACTGGTCAGATTTTCAAACGGCACTGTGATAATGCGAAAAAAGACAGTCAAATGTTTACGTCCGATTGTTCCATATTCGTGAATTTGGAGCCATACGGTGGAAACATTACACCTACATTCACTGGGATTGATAAGATAAGCAAGCAGTTCAATATGCCTAGTGCTAGCAGCCGTTTACATCACGAATTGTGCATAAATATTTTTGTACATGGGAAACACCATGCCGGCGTACTCGATCGGGAAGTGCCTCGTGAAATAGTGCCGCGCCATGCAGCGAAACGTGCCATGACTCGGCGAGATTAAGTCATCGTCAAGCGTCAGTCATCGGCCATTTGTAAGCAAATGGTTGTCGTCGCGAATCTGAACTCTATGAGCACCTGAAGTTTGCTACCTAATAATTGCAGTTAACGTGATTCTTTCCTCGACCTGAATTCTGCATATGGTCTGTTTAAAAATGAGTTTCAAGCATAGGCG